GGCGTGATTTCTCAATTTTAATATTATGTTACATGAGAATTAACGAATTTTTGTTAAATTCCATACACATTCAAGAAAAACGGCGTTCTTCTACTGTACATATTTCATGTTTAAAAAAGACTACTGATAATGTAATATAATAATGTTTTTAATAATGTTTATATAATAATGTTTTTTTATTATAATTGTTCCGAAATAAAATTTGGATCCGTACCATCTAGCGGCGAGTAGCTGAAGCATTTTGATTGGCTCAGATTTTGTTTTAGCTATTCTCCAATAGATGGCGCTGACGAAAAAATTTCGTTCATAGAAAAAACAAAATCAGTCTGTATCAGTTTCTAAAAATCACGGGTTACTCACGTGAACATACTGAGAAAAGGTCTACTAGTTTAGAACCACAGAGGGGTTCTTCCTCATCTTCCTCATGAGCAGCGTGCGCGGTTCAGGCGAAGTCACTAAGCTACGGAGTCAGTACTATCACTGGTAGGTATAATTTTGGTCTTAAAATATGAAAGGAACGGTCAGTGAGTATAGACAGAAGAAATGTGTATTTACTTACTAAAGATGCAGAAAATTGTCCTCCATCCATGGCTGGCATGCAGGTACAGTAGGTACAGTAATTTCAACTTTTTTCGAGATTTGCACAAACACAATCCATAAACACTTAAATACATCACGTTTACATGGAAACAATAATAATTACACCGCCAGAACGCGTATTATGTTGAAATTACGATGAAAACGATAGCTCAAAAAACTTTCGCGCGATTCACAACTCAACTCCATGTCAATGAAAAATAACAGTGTTGCCAATTTAATCGTACCGGACCGTTTTAGTTCATACTTCGTAATTCTATTTAAAAAACGAGTACAAAATCATACATTGTAAATTATTATTTAAATAATGATTTTAAAATAACAATAAAATTAAAAAAATTGAAAAATAGTAGACGTAATTGATTTTTTGTCACAGTTGACTTGACATGGTAATTTAAAATTGATTGTGATTATGATACGGTTATGCTTCCAGCTCTATGCCTTTACTTATGTCGCGGAGAACCTAACGGGTAACCGGGGCTCCGGCTCGACGTGCAGGAGAAGGAACGGGGTGGTTTTTAGTCAGTAAGAGTCTGACACTCCCTTCCGCCTCACCCAGGCGGGAGCAGTCATTCGATGATTTTCCCCCCTTAAACTGTCAAATACCAAGCGGTCACCGGTGACCGCAACCTATTGTTCTTTAATTGTGTCTATAAATACGGTGCTCGACGAGTTAAAAAAAAAAAAAATGCCTTTACTTATCTACTGCTCCGACTACCTACAAAACAAAATCATTTTGCTCAAATACCTACCTACTACTACCTACTTACTAGTCTCACGATCGGGCAGTAACTTCATGGTGATCCTCTCGCGTCCGGGCCTAGTGCAGGCCATGATGCGGAGCGAGGGGGACTGGGATGCCGTCTCCTCCTTTTGCGAAGCAGTCATGCTAGCTAACGGACGCGTGAGGCAGCGAAGCGCTGCCTCCTCGCAACCCAGCCATCGCGAAGGACACACCGGGCGTCGGGGATCGCGGGACGATCTCCGGCCACCGTAAGCGCGGGCCTGCCGACGGCGAGCATGGGTGGCTCCCCGTCCGACCAGAAACAGAACCGAGCGTGTGGCGCGTCGCGTTCCGCGCGCGCCTCAAAGAGCCATCAGACCACCACAGATGGGGCCCAATACGGCCGATGCCGATTCGGAGTCGCGGAGAAACTAACGGGTAGCCGGGGCTCCGACTCGACGTGCAGGAGAAGGAACGGGGTGGTTATTAGTCAGTAAGAGTCTGACACTCCCTCCCGTCTCACCCAGGCGGGAGCAGTCATTCGATCATTTTCCCCCCTTGGTGATTTCATTGTAAAACTTTCAGAGCTTATAGGTAAGTATTCAATAACTGAGGTGCAGAAGTCTAGAGGAGGAGAATTAGGAAGAAACATTGGCTATCCAAAGAAGTATTTCTCTAAATTCAATTTATCCTTCAAGCCTTCAAGAAAAGTGCGTATTTATTCCTTTTTAAAAGGTTGGCAACGCATCTGTGAACCTTTCGGTGTTGCTGGTGTCTATGGGCGGCGCTGATCGCTTACCATCAGAATAAGAATAAGAACGTTTATTTGCACGAAGTATGGTAATGACAGGTAATAATAAATAATTATTAAAAAAAATATGGTCCCACATACAGATAAGACTTCCGTCATTACGTACCTATGCAATAAAAAATCTATAAGTAGGTACTTACTTACTCTATATTACCTACTTACACTTTTCTATTCCCCTATAGATTAGGTATACTACCACATTATTATATCTATGGTAAGTACCTAGGTAACGTACGCATGTTAGCATAACAAACTTCTTCAACAATCTATAAAAATAATTTCATAGATTTGATACCTTATCTAGAATAGAATAGAATTTTATTTATTTCCAAGTATATAGTAGGTACATTGAGGTTTTACATTGGGTTTAATCGATTAAAGTATTTTCACCGCATGACTTATCTCTACATCTATCAAACAAGTCTCGTTTCACCTGAAAAATTAAAAGGAAAATAAAAGATAATATTCTAAAAGTAGGTCTCGGTTTATATTATAAAAGTACACTACATAATGGTACAAAATTTCATACATTTCTCATACACTATACCTACATACTATACTTAGTACAATAATTTATGCATATCAAAGAGATTTGCTTTAGAAAAAAGCTTTGATGTATTGTATGAAAAATCCACAACATTTGTTCATACAAAAGTAGTCTCTTAAAATCGGAAAAAAGGTCTACAATAGAGTGTCGCTTGTGGACTCGGCAGAGGAGACAATAAATCCAGAGTAGGTATTGAACATACACATGCCATTTTTATTTGTCGTAACACACATTGTACATGGTTACTTTGACATTCCAAAAAAAAATATTTAGTTAAAAAATTTCCACATAAAAATGTGTAGTTTGTAATTTTCTTGCAAGTATTAACAACATGAGTGATCTTGATGATAGCTAATAACCAACATAGAGAACCAATACAAAGAAGATATAAATAATTATTTATCATTACATAATTGTAACCTACAAAACTTACTTCTGCTTGAAGTTCCAAGATCATTACTTATTTACATTTCAATTCATTCATTTTTACATATTCATTACAAAACCTTTTACATAACATCATAACATCACGCCTTTTATCCCCGAAAGGGTAGGCAGAGGTGCACATTACGGCACTTATTGCCACTGTAATGTAACACCCACTTTTCACTATTTATGTTACGAGTCCCATGTAATAGGGGGTGAGCCTATTGCCATATACCGGGCACAGTTTCAGACTCCGTGCTACTACTGAGAAAAACCCAGTAATACTTTGCCCGACCCGGGAATCGAACCCGAGACCCCTTGCCCGGCAGTCGCACTTGCAACCACTCGGCCAATGAGGCAGTCCTTTTACCAATACCAATTTAATTTTCATAAGTACTTCATGAGTATGAATATCATTTATATTTTCTTGCTTGTTCTTTGGAGGTATGTGTATAGTAACTTCCATAGGTTACTCAGTTACTGGCATATGTGTAAAGGAGGCCATACACAATAGGTTTTGCATGATGGTTCTAGCCGTGTATGCATAACCGACAGGCAATCCCTAGCGTATATGTGATTTAAACTGTACAGTTATTGGTGCATCAATGCTCGAGTATGTTTGTCAGTTTTGCATGCAAAGTTATAACCATCATGCAAACCCTAGCGTGTATGGCCTCCTTAATACTATGTGACTGAAACAAGAGTAACCTATGGAGCTTCTTGTTCATTCTTCTCCATAGGAATCTACACCTTGAAACGAGAAAATCGTTTCATTAGAGGACTGACAGACAGACTGACACTTTTAATTTCTGTTTGACATTCAAAAGTGGTTTTCTAGTCTAAATGAAATATTTGACTTTGACTTTAAATACTTAACATTATAAATTTCAGTACATTCTCACTCATGAGTGTGTAATATTCTATGCACATTCCACCACTTCTCCACAAATTCCTTTAACTTAATATAATAAAACATCATTCATGCAACCATCACAACATTCTGTTTTTGATGTTTGTATATATGTGTGTATATTAAAATAATCATTATAATTATATTGTTTTCTATTGCATACTGATTTACTAATAAACATTTGTATCTATAGAAATAAGATGTGCTACTGTAAGAATTATATTTAGAACTCCTCTCGCCTGCGATACAAGATTGTCCTAGTGCAGGCATTTAACTATTTGCGATCAAATGTACGTAATTTAGATATATTTTTGAATTTAGATTTTTTTTTGTTATTATGAAGAAAGTTTTTATTTATTTTATTTATTCTGTAATATCCTAAGACTGGTCGAAAGACAAGGGTACTATCGACAAAGTTGGTGGTCGACTATCATCAAGGGATATTATACAAGCATTTGGCGCGAGCATCCACAGGGAAAACGCGCGGTGGATAGTAAGTTTGCCACAGGATTTTGTAGTGTACTACTGTAAACTTTGCCCATAGTACATTCTCCATTAGGACCAATCCAATTCATTATTAGAGTACATTGCTCCCTCCATTTATAAATTTTAATTTCCTAACAAATAATTATTTTTTTTCCTGCCTCCATTAACCCCTAAAGAATAATTAAAGGAATGTATTATCTGCGTCTCGAAGTAATCTCTACCCATACAGGTTTCTTTCAAACCCATTTCTTAAAAATTATATTTTCATAACATTTTCTCAATCGTCAAATGCATACTCGTCTTTTCTAATTTGAGTAATGTTTTTGTAAAACAAGTATAAAATAGGTATACAAGCGACCTGCGCCAGTTTCGCACGGGTGCAATATGCATGTATTATATATATAAACTTTCATTAACAATCACTGTTAAAAAAAACCGCATCAAAATCCGTTGCATAGATTTAAAGATCTAAGCATACATAGGGACAGACAGACGGCGGATAGTGTCTTTGTTTTATACTATGTAGTGATTTATGATAATTAAAGTGATAAGACAAACATAACATTTATGAATGTTACCTTAATTCCTAAGTTACTGAGTGAGTGTCCCTTAGAGCAAATATTTCAGTGAACACTCACACTTTTTTTAAAGTACTTTACTTTTAAAGTGATTAGCATTTACAAGTTCTTAGAACAAAAGTCATTACTTAAATATCATGACAAGTTAGTTGATTGGGATTATTAAACATTAACTACTTGTAAAATATAAATATTCATCTCCAAACACTTACTCTTCAATAATATACATTTTGAATGTTACATAATTATTTATATTGACCGACTTCAAATAGAAAAAAGGCAGTTCTCAGTATGACCTATGTTTGTGTGCAATTATCTCTCAATTGGTTGAACAGATTTTGATGCGGTTTTCAGAAAAGTATTTGTTACACAAGAGGGACAGTTTTAGTATATTAATTGACAGATTTAAAACAAGTGGGGATTGAAGTCGGTTTCTTTAAACATACCTATTTATAAAAGGAATATTTTACCACTAAAAGTTCAGTAACATGGACTGAATAGATCACATGATTGCTCGATGACAATTAAATGTGAATATATTGGTATTATACATGGAGCACCCACAATGAGTGGTATCTCACAAACATTACAACATTGTAATTTAAACAGTTACAACTGTACATATCAGAAATCCAAGGACTTTGGTCCTTGTTGTTAACAAAACCCCTAATACTACAGTACTCCCTTCACTCCACTACTTGGCAGTCATCATCATCCACAACTCCTCCATTCAAGGCATCATTCACAATGTTGTTCCTCTTCTTCTTCAACTCGTTATCAATGAAGTTCCTCCTTCCATCTCTAACTCGCAGCTGTGCCACCTTGTCCGGCGGTGGCCGCTCCACCAGTCCCTTTGTAAATGTATATATGACAATAGTTAGATCACCTTCAACAAACGCCAGGTTCACAGACGGCCCCGTCTCAACTGTACACAGATTCTCCTGTATTTTGTTGATGAAATCCACGGTGATCTCGTCGTGCGTCGGTATCGGCACGTAAATGTTTGGTTTCTCGTTCCTTCTCGGCCGGGCGACGATGTAAAGAGTATCTATGTCCTTATTGTAACAATACTCAGTGTCGTACATCAACTTCTGGTCCACTAGATGTAAGTAAAGGTGGTAAGCTAAAGATACCTTTAGATCAGACTTGCAGCCTAAAGCCTTCATGTCTCCTTTGACTTTCGTTTCAATATCCATGTTTATTGTTTTATATCTTGTATATGTTGAGTAATTACTCTAATCTTGACACAAACGCGACACTAATGATGAATTTAAAGTAATAATGATAGTTTCAACTTGCAGAAGCGGCAAAATGCAGCGGCGTGCGGCGGGAGTTAACAACCGAACTGACAGATACAGAATTTACAGATAGCTGACAGTGACAGCGTCAGTCTGTCAGTGTCAAATTGTACTTCGTTTTGTTATTCTTTGTATGCCATCGAACAAAGCGTTTTAATCGAGGTGTAAGTACGTTATATTGTATTGTGCTGTTACACTGATTACCATGTCGTGGAGAACCTAACGGGTTACCGGAGCTCCGGCTCGACATGCAGGAGAAGGAACGGGGTGGTTTTTAGTCAGTAAGAGTTTGACACTCCCTCCCGCCTCACCCAGGCGGGAGCTGTCATTCGATGATTTTTCCCCCCTTAAAAACACTGATTATCATTACCATGTACCATATCATCACTAAGAAACTAGGTATTGATTATCTTAAATTCGGGTATTTATTGAGTTGAGTCTACTCCTGACCTAAAGATTTTATTTTGGGTCTACAGAGCACAAAATATGGGGTAGTAATAAAAAAATAATTAATTGGTAATACTTTTATTTATTTAATACAGTTACAATTTCAGTGGTTATTTAATAGATAGCTCTTAAACTATTATCTATCAAATAAGCAAGATTGCTGTTGTTTGGGTGGGATAGAATATAAGGCAGTGTCTTTGATTGTCCCATCATTTCGAAAATATAATGTAACGGCATTTTATTTTATTGTGAGGAAACTTATAGTAATAGTTATTCTAAGAAAATAAATAGTAATTAAGTAACAATGAAATCTTAAAAAATATGGTTACAAAAATTTCAGTCATATTTACATTAAGATATAGTTAGCAGGTAGATAACATTTGTTAAAGTTCTTACACTAAAAAATACAAACTACGTAAAAATATTATATTACATAGTTACTCTTAAAGCATGTGGCCACAAACAGAAGCTAAGCCTACATCATTAGAAATAATTACTAAGGTGGAACCAAGTAAAGAGCCTCTCAAAATACTATTTACAAGATTTCACCGCACCGAATACCTAATCCACACAAAAATACTAATAAATATATCATAGAAGAATACAATTTTCTGCTGATCCGACTACTTGAGAGAACTTTCTCAAGTCAATGTCCTTTCACAAATTCACTACTTTGAACACAAGTCTTTAGCACCATGTTTACAGATCACTTGGAATTTATAGAATGTCTTTGCTAGTTTTGATGCATTTTCCTCTAAAGCATATTTCTGTTTCATGTGACACTTCTGTCGACATAGAAGTGCTCACTACATTGGCTGGATTCATAAACGAGGATACAGACGAGCTCTCTACCTTGACTACTGATATTTCTGTAACACCTTCTGTAACACTTTCTCCTGTGCTATTTAACTTTTTGATTTCGGTGAAAGCTGTAACGGCCTCAGTGTTTTCGTCACTTATTGAAGCTGCAGTTATTTCTTCAGGAATAAATGAACTTTCTGTTGTAACAATTTTAAGTTTAGGTGCTTCTGTTTGAATTTCGCTTTCAATAGTTTTTACAGTCTCCTCGCCATCAGCTTGTTTATGGCTATCCTCTGCAGTTGTTCCAAACAAATAATCCATGAAACTGAATCCAGCGTCGTGTCTGTTAACTGTCATTGGTTTGTTGGTTGTAGTTGGCTCTGCTGGAGTGGTTAAGTAAAGGTCGTCAATTGTTGGGTCGGGTGAGCCTGTGCCTAAATCTAAGTCTCCCGGACTAATGGCTGATTCAGTCTGCGATTCCTTGTCGAGGTAAACTGTTGTCTGCTTACTTTCTTCGGTAATCAGAGTTTCTTCATTTTCTAGAGATTTGTTTGTAAGTTTAGGTATGTCTACTGTAGGCAGAACATCGATATTTGCCGCTTCATCATCACTAGAGAAAAGATCTTTGATGAAATTATAACTTGGTTTGTAAGTAGTAACTTTGGGCTTATCAACCTTTTCTATTTTCTCATGAACGTTTTTGGAGATCTTCACTGGTTCTCCAAGGCGGTTGACGGTGTGGCTGTAGTACTGCGATTCAGCGAACTCAATGGATTCAGTTGTCGCAGGTCGCACTTTGACTTTCTTCCAGAATCCACGACGTCGGCTCTTGTGTTCACTGTCATCCTGAAAAGAAAAATGTTACCGTAAAAAATCGTAATGTAGAAACTACCGTTTTGGATTCTGTTTTCGAAAATCTTAGCTCTTTAGTATTGCTTAACCTATTTTACTAGTTTCGAAGTCCGCTTTCGGTTATATGGGAATCAATAACAAAACTAGTTATAAATGAGTGCTACATACATCTGAGTATCTCTGTTTAAACGTTTGGGTATACAAGACTTGTTGTTTTTTAAAATGAATCAACGCTTACCTCAGCAATAAGAGGAGATTCATCCGCCGTTGTTTGTGCAGTCGTGGTTTCTTGTAATGCTACAGTGGACTTCAGTGCGTAGGTGTCTCCTGAAGATATGATTCTCTCCGGTGGAATTTCACCAATTTCACCGCCTTTGTGTTTCATCACATTTGAGTTGTATTCGTCTTGGTCTTGCTCTTCTAAACTCTTCATTACTTCTTCCAACATGCTTTCAAAAGTAGACATACTATCCGTCGAATCACTCTTTGTTACTTTACTCTGTTCGACCAATGCTTCCAATGTTGGAGGGATCTCAGGGATTTTCTTATTAGCCCTGTTGTTACTTGCGGGAGTTACAGTTAGTAATATATCTTCAAATTCATTTCTGGCTGTAATGATATCCAATTCACTTTCTGAGTCTGATCGGCGTTCTGTAGTAGCAACTTTTTGTTCATCCACGATATCGTTGGGGTTGTATGGTTTGAAGGAATCGCTTGAAATCTTTGGTGACCACTGATCAGTTTCAGGTTCCGCATATTTTGGTCTGTTGATAGAGAAGTTGGAATCTTGATCTTCTATTTCTTCGCTTTCAGGTTTTTTGTTGTATCTTTCCGACAGTCTAGGTCTGTGACTGTATCTGGCATGAAGCTGAGTTCTAGTGGTAGAGGTAGGTGCTTCTGTTTGTACGTCAGGCTTGTCTGTGGGTTTTTCAGTCGGTCTTCGTCCCCTAAACCTGTTCTTAACTTCATAAATTCGTTTTGTGCTGGGCGCTTCAGTCGATGTAGTAGTGTAAGAATATGTTGGCCTTCTTCGACGGAAGTGACCGCGTTTTGTGGCACTTTCAGTTGTTGATGGTGAAGTTGCTGCAGGTTCTGTAGAAGGATCAGGTCTGTAGACAGGATGTCTGACTTCTTGCACGTCTTGCCTAGTGTGTACTTGTTTTGTTTTGAGGTCAGCTTCGATTTCATCGATTCGCATAGTTGTGCGTCTCCCGTTAAAGGCTGGCCTATAAGTAACTGGCTGAGCAGGTCTTCTACGTTCCTTGTTTCTCGATGACTCAGTTGACGCTTGATGGTATTGTCTGATGACTCCGGGACGCACACGCACACGGTTGTATGATGGTGTAGTTTGAACGACATTTTCTTCTTCTTCGTTCTCATGATGGTCTTGGGTGTCAACTCTGATGTCCTCAGATTCAGAGGCAGTAGTAGGTTCTTCTTGATTATTTGAAGAAAATTCATTACCAACTGAATAACTTATACTCTGTTCTGTAACAGGAACGGTCGCAGCTTCGGTTGCGTAAGAACTGATTTCAGCGTATTCTTGATTTGATACAGGTGTTGTTTGCTTGACATAGATGTCTTCTTCTTTTTCGGAACTCGTCTCGTCAAAGGCAGACGACTCTACTGGTGCACTACTGCTTCTAGACTGATAATAATATTCTTGGCGGGTGGATGGCAAATTCGGCACATAAGATGTTTCAGTCTGCAAAGTACTTCTTGCAGTAAATGTTGGTAAAACAGACTCTTCGTTTGACTCACTGTTTGAGAAATGTTGAGTTATTGATACTTTTTCGTTAGTGTAAGCATTTTCAGTATCATTTTCTGTAATTGGCTCTTCGGCCTTATCAGGTGTCTGTTTAGGGGTGGGTTCAGTGATTGCTTCAATATCTACAGTACTCATACGCTCCATTAGTGTTACTGGATAGTTCTGGTGCAGAACATCTCTTTGGTAAGCCAGATCTTCTTCCTTGGTATTGTGAGTCTTGACTCTTCTATCATAAATATCTTCATTCTCTGAAGGTTTATAATGAATACGCCCTCTCGTTCGTGTTCTAGAAGATTTAGTTGTGCTTTCATTGGAGTCCAAAGGCTTTTTGTTTGGTTTTTCAGTAGTGATTTTGTTAGGTTCGTATCGAGGTCTGGTAGGTAGAGGCCTTCTTTCTCTCAAAGGTCGTCTTGTTACAACCACCCTGGTAGTAGATTCGTATGACTCAGGTCGTGGAGTAGTGGTGTATCGTGGACGACCTCTGTTTCTCTGTGGAGTCCGGCGCGTAGTAGTGCTTGTTGTTGTGGACGAGGACGTTGGGCTGACTTCTGAAGAATCATAGTTAGTATGATACACATTGTACTCGTCACTGCTATACTTAGGAGGTGTATTGATATCAGAAATGGTTGGCAGATTGGTGACATCTGACGTCTGTTCCGATGGAGTATTTTGTTCAACTGAGTGTTGAGGTTCAACGTTTTGGTTATAATCGGTTTTGTACGTATTTACTTGAGTATTAACATCTGTATTATAGTTGTTGACAGCTGGTGTGTTGTAATTATCTCTAGTGGTATCAGTATTGTAACTACTTGCTGGCGCATTGTATTGGTTTATCTCTGGGGTATTAATGTTCTCATTGTAATTGTTTCTATCAGGCACACGATTGTCTGTGTTATAATTGTTCCTAACTGGTGCAGAAACATCCTGGTTATAGTTATTGACTGGGTTATTATTATCAGTGTTAACAGGATTATTAAGTGGTGTCTGTTGAGAAGTTAGCTCAGATTTAGCAATATAGTCAGTAGGATTGAAGACGGGATATTTCAGATTTGGATCAGAATCATAATGTATTTCTGGAGTATAGTTTTGTAAGTAGCTTGGAGATGATTGTTGATTATATTTTGGTTTTTGAGTGATTACTTTTTCTGGTTGTGGTACTGTACTGGGAGTAGTCGCTGGTGTAGGTGTCTGAGATGGTACCGGCGTCGGGGAAGGCGATGGTGATGGTGACG